TTTTTTTTTGGTTGGGTTGGTGGGCAAGTGGAAGGCAAAATGTATACCAGTCAGACTGTAGTCAATAACAACATTAACACATAACAGAAGTTTTAAAGTAATTATACTTTTGATTTATTTTTGACTTAGCTTCATGATTCGACCCATGAATAAAACTGTTCCTGTAGTATTGTCTCTGATAAGAAATAAAAATGGATGATTGGCGTTAAATTTATGATGTACCCTCACAGATTCTATGCCTACTAAGACTGCACTGGCTGCAGCAGCTTCGGTACCTTCCTCTGTTACTTCGATAAACGATTTATGTACAGCATCATACACAAATAACTCTCGATTATCGGCCATACCGGTTAAATCCGCCAAATCTGGGACAAAAATATCAACCATGCCCAACTTCTGCAATTCAGATTTTAACTGAAAACTGGATTCCATTTTGAATCTGGGAAAGGTAACGTCGACTTTTGTTTCATGCAGTTGTGAAAACCACTTTTGGAGGGTATCAGAGGTTATATTTTTCTGTAACGACAACAAACCATTGACCTCATCGGGAAGAATGGCAATCATACTCAGATTACTACCGCTGTACGGCATCTCAAGAATCTGACATTTTAAAACATCATCTGCATAAAATTTAAATTTGTTTTCATTATTATACATCATAGGTATTTTCACCGCGTTTCTCTTATCAAGATAAAAATTATCAACTTTGGTAAATTTTGGATTGAACTGATTCGCCCATTTGCCTTTAAAATATATCGCATTGACAAGAACGAGTTTCGTCATAGTACTGATAACACCTTCAGGGATCAAATCTTGTATGAGTGACTGAGTTTGCTTATCGACCCATTTATTGATCTCAACTCTGGACTCTTCAGGATTTCCAAAATTGAGAGGTTCTAAAGCACTGTCGTAATAAGCTTCAGTTGCTGATAGAAATTCTGAGACGAAAGTATAGTTGCTATCAATAAAGAGTTTATTAGCAGCATTCAAAACGTAACCAGCATCTTGGTTGAAAATCTCAGACCTCAGCATGTGAAAAGTGGGATGAATGTTCTCAATTCCAACTTGATGAAACTTCAAGACTTTTTCCATCTGTGTTGCACTTTCACTTTTGGCTCCTAGATACGTCATTGCTAACGCAACTGATATGCTGAACGGAGAGAACACAATGTTCTCTTCTTGATACTGCTTAGATTGAGTGAGTGTCTGGTACAAGTCAACAGCGAAGTCTTGCTGGGACTTAGCAAGAACTTTAAGTCCAGGGATTTCTTTCTCTTCCTCTTTGACTTCATTTGTTTCATGTTCTTTTATAACATTTTCTTTCTCTTGCTGTTCAGTTTTTTTTTGTTCTTCTTCGTCTTCAGCACTTTCTATCTTCTCCTCTACCGCCAGCCCTTTTTTCTCTGCATCCCGTGGAAGGAACACTACTTTGTCACGAACAACATTCACGCTTTTTTCCTCTGTTGCAGTGTTTCCTCTTGGAAAGCTGTAAACAGCGATTGCGAAAAAACCAACAACTAACATAACACCGAAAAACATTTTAATGTTGCGTAGTCTTTTTCTTTCCTTGTACTTTTTTTCTGATTTGCTATCGTCTTCGTCAGCATAGACTTGAATTGGAACATCCTGCCTTGGCCTCTGCCCCATACCATGGTGTGCCCGTTGCATTGTCTGAAAAGAAAACCGAAAACAGTCAATAGGAATTCATTGGGAGAATATAACACTAACGGTTTAGAAATTTAGTACACCAGGTAGTGTTGAAGTATAAAAGCTCACTATGCCAGTTAGATAGTTGCAGTTATAGAGCATTTGTCAATAAAATTGATAAAAAAAAAAAAAATATCAGAGTATCGAGCCAGCAAAGTTTTTGTTTCAAAATCATAAAATTCATGATTATTACTTATTTGTGGATTATAATAGTGTTCCCAGGAACCCAAAGTATCCTATTTACTGACTAAGGCCTATGCCAAATTGACGTCATAAAAAATGCGCCGCCGACTGTGCGCGTCGCCCAATCTTTTTACTAGCTGTCAAACAACTTGTCAAGTCAAAACATCTACGCACCAAAGTGAAAAGGTTGACGCACGAAAAATAAAAGTCAACCCACCAACCGTCTCCATTCTAAACCACGCCCACAGAATAAATAAGTTTATCTGCGTTGCTTCTCACGATATCAGTCTGTGAAATGTCACGATATCCAACCAGAAATATGGCTAATACTGTTACTGCCACCGGTAAAATATTGAAGAGACGGTCAAAAACATCAGAAGAGGTTGAAAATGATTGTTAACGAAATTATATTGTGTGGCGGTAATGCGCACTGGTCATTTTTCTTCTTTTCGTGAAATATGCCGAAGTTCATTATTATGCAGAGCAAGCAAAGGCAACAGACAATATTACCATAACTCCAGGATGGTAACTTGGAGTTGATCAAACATTGAAGAGATTACCGGCTTTGATTCTTTCGATTGATGACACGTACTTCTCGTAACAAGAACTGGAGTGATGTCATTTTTGGAAAGACTGGGTATATATTTTTGACGTTGACATGGTGCTCTGTCAGCAGTATACGTAGCAGTGGTCTTGTCTGGCAAACAATGTTTGCATTTTGTTTTGAGGATATGCGCAAAACCTGCTTGACATTTCAAATTACTAGCACTGTCTTCGTTAAACGATGTAACATAGGCATTATAAAGTTCCGCTTTATTGATGTAAGTAACTTGGCTGCTTCATAAAGTAGGAGTTCTCTTGTGACCTGATAGAATTCCTGGTAAAATTTCCTGAATATATATTATGCCGTTACCCGGTATTTTTTTTATTGCACGTAAACTTGTTGTCGCGCGCAGTTATCTAACATGAAAAAATTTTACTTTCTGTATGATGTTCTCTAAGCTAGTTTGTAATTTCCGACATTGTTTTGATAACCACGAGTTGAGTACTGAGAGACTAGATCGGTTTCTGTAGCAACCGTGACGCTATATCCAAACGTTCGCTACATTGTTTCCCATTGCGTTCTAGTGGTACTTGTCTGTTTACCGCCCAAAATTCCCACCAAAGTTCTGCCTCG